CCACGATGATCTCATCGGATGAACCACGATGTCAAGGACTCAATCGATCCCGTATACAATTCCCTTTGTCTAGCGGTATTTTACTTGCCCGAGATTCGATCGTCGGTATACCGATACCTTGTTCAATCTCGTTACCGGCAAGTCTCTTTACTCGTTCCGTAACACATCATCCCGTGATCAACCCCTTGGTCACATTGTGCACATTATGATGATGTCCTACCGAGTGGGCCCTGAGATACCTCTCCGTTTACACGGAGTGACAAATCCTAGTCTCGATTCGTGCCAACCCAACAGACACTTTCGGAGATACCTGTAATGCACCTTTATAGCCACCCAGTTACGTTGTGACGTTTGATACACCCAAAGCATTCCTACGGTATCCGGGAGTTGCACAATCTCATGGTCTAAGGAAAAGATACTTGACATTAGAAAAGCTTTAGCATACGAACTACACGATCTTTGTGCTAGGCTTAGGATTGGGTCTTGTCCATCACATCATTCTCCTAATGATGTGATCCCGTTATCAACGACATCCAATGTCCATAGTCAGGAAACCATGACTATCTGTTGATCACAACGAGCTAGTCAACTAGAGGCTCACTAGGGACATATTGTGGTCTATGTATTCACACGTGTATTACGATTTCCTGATAATACAATTATAGCATGAATAAAAGACTATTATCATGAACAAAGAAATATAATAATAACACTTTTATTATTGCCTCTAGGGCATATTTCCAACAGATTCTAGGTAAGTGATCAAGTATATGCCATATCCATATTACCTCGATCACTTAAGTAGGTGATCAAGTATATATAATATGGATATGACATATACTTGATGACTTAGCTAGGATCCACGCATCCAGTCAAACTAATCACCTAATGATTTAACAACTCATTATAATGTAAAACAATCACTAAATTAAATTGAAAACACAAAATAAAAGTAAAAATAAAAAATAAAACCAAAACACACCCAAACATTTAGTACCGGTTGGTGTTACCAACCGGTACTAATGTCCTACGCGCCCACGGAGCTGGCTCGTGCCACGTGGTTGCCCTTTAGCACCGGTTTGTGCTGAACCGGTACTAAAGGGAGGGCCTTTAGTGCCTACAATTTAGTGCCGGTTACTGAACCGGCACTAAAGGCCTTTACGAACCGGTGCTATTGCCCGGTTCTGCACTAGTGACAGTGGAAGAACTGTGGGCGGGATCATGTGCAGATGGCTTGGGGATATATGTTTGCCTTATATTTTTAGATTACTCTTATTTACTTATGCATGTCCTTCTACGGATCAGTTTTGGATGTTTGACTTCTGGAAGTTCCCGGCTGCACATCCCAACCTCAACTGAAGTCTCACCATCGAGGATGTTCAGGTGCTTGTTGTTCTTCAGTTACTGTTGCTCTTTAGATTCATGTCTTAGATATTCTTAGGACAGAAATCTTATGGAGTTTAATGATCATTCATTTCAACAAATATATGTGATATTTTCATGTAAAAGGCTGCCTTCCAAAATTATGGTGATTTGATGTTTCTTTCAACATTATTTTGTTTATAATCTGAATCTGAAGCTAACTATACGTCCTTAAATTGTTGCCAATTAAGAAGTAGAAATTTAGTTGGTCCCTGTTGGAACCCTAGCCTTGCCCTAGCTCACCTCTCTCTCTTGTGCACCTCAATATCCCGCTCTGGCAATAACCTAGAAGAAGGAGGAGGAAGAAGAAGAACACGATGGACACGGCGAGAGTTTCTGGCGCACGAACACCACCGCACGAACGATATTTTTCCCAAGCAACAAAATCGCTCACACATGTTACAACGATCACCGTGTCGGACCTTATACGCGGGCCAACACTAGGCCACGACCCGCACGTCTACCCACTACTCCGCCTGGTTCGGCCTGCTCCGCGTGCCCACAATAGACATGCACGATCACCCCTCCCAGATCGCCAACAACATGGCTTACGCACACACACGTACGGTGTCCACCCACACGGGCACCCCCGTGCACCACACACACGTGCACACACACAAACACCTACGTCGCAGACCCGACGCGCCCAACACGCACCCACACACGTGCCCGACACGTCTAAGCCGTGGCCGCGGCTTATTTGGCCAACACTCACCCCCTAAGCTGTAACTCAGAGGATTCCAGGCTCGAGGTCGTCGCCGATCTCCACCAGGAGCGCGTGCTCCGCCGCCGGCGCCTTTCGCAGCTTGGGGCACTCGCACTTGAAATGGCCACGCTCGCTGCAGCTGTAGCAGCGTCCGCACCGCTTGCCTCCGCCGCCCAATGTGTCGTACTGCCCGCGCCATCATCGTCGTGGTCGAGGCCGCCTCCGCCATGCCGACGCTGCTGAGCTGCCCACTGCGCCACAGTCAGCATGAGCTCCTCACCGTCGCGCCTACCCCCGTCCTGCCCGTGATGCCGGGTCCGTTCGTCGAATGCTTTGAGCCGCCCCAAAGCCTCCTCGTACGCCATCTCTTCTACATTGCAAAATTGTTCAATTCCGGCGAAGGCGGGGTAGAACGGTCCGGGACCGTGTCCAACATCTTCTTCACGAGCGCAACATAGTTGAGCACCGCCCCCAGACCTGCATAGCGTGTCGTCATGGTGCCAAGCTTCCCGCCTAGGCTGTCCAAGTCGTCATCCCCGCCATCCGCAGCCGCTCGAACTCGCCGTGGAGCGACGCGAGCCGGGCCGCCCGCACCCGATCAGCGACGACGAAGCGCACCTTGAGGGAGTCCCATACCTCCTTCGCGGTGGGCTTCGTCGACACTGGCAACAGCACTTTCGCCGACAGCACCCCGAGAAGCATCGCTCGCGCCGTCTTGCTCTTGTCGGCGTCGATCGTCGTGCCCTCCGCCGAAACGACCACCCCCACAGCCCCTAGGCACCAAGAAAACCTTCCACCTTGATCGCCCAGGAGGTGTAGTTCGTCGTGGTCAGCGGTGGGACCGGCAGCAAGAACGAGCCACCACTGCCATCGTGCGGTACGAGTGCCATGGCCGCCGGCGTTCACCTCCGAAACCGGGCTCTGATGCCAATTGTTGGAACCCTAGACTTGCCCTAGCTCACCACTCTCTCTATCTGTGCACCTCACTCTCCCGCTCTGGCATGAACCGAGAAGAAGGGGGGGGAGAAGAAGAACACGGTGGACACGGCGAGAGTTTCGGGCGCACGAACGCAACCGCAAGAACGGTATTTTTCCCAAGCAACAAACTCGTCCCACACATGTTACAACGATCATCACGGCTATCTTATACCTGGGCCAGCGCTCGGCCACGACCCCGCCTGGTCCGGCCCGCTCCGCGCGCCCACGACGCACTCCCGCTCGCGCTCGCCACGTTAAGCCCGCAACAGACCTGCGCGGTCACCCCGCCCAGGTCGCCAACAGCATGGCCTACGCACACACACGTATGGTGTCCACCCACACGCGCACCTCGGGCACCACACGCACGCACACACGCAGACCTACACAGCGGACCCGACAGGCCCAGCGCGCACCCACACATGCGCCCGAGGTGTCCGACCCATGACCGCGGCTTATTTGGCCAACAGTCCCTCTACCAAGGATGGAACTCGGCAAACGCATGGCTGAGTTTATTTGGCTTTACTGAGTTCCCAAGAAATTCTACTCGGCAATTCCAATAGTGAAAACTATCACATGATCCGCCCTAATTGTACGGGCAGATAATATGTATGCATGGTCTATAATGAAATTTACAACAGAGATTCACTCGCTCATGATTCTACCTAACACGGTCTACTATGCGGGGAGGCGTTTTGGCTCAAAAAAAGTAGAATTTTAAAAAAATCTGAAATTTTTCATAGATGTTTGTGTTAGTGTTGCAAGCATGCTTGACAATTTTCATGCAAAACGGAGCAGCAGCGTTTCCTTATGTGTTGATTTTAATTAATGGATAATAACAATGCACATGCTTTCATGATGCAATCGATTTTAAGAACTAAAAAAGGCATTCGAGTGTTATTATCATTTGTAATGCATTGCAGAATAAAGAGTTCAATGTTTGTGTACCACCTTCTTTATTTTGTGCATCAGGTGTATAGGGTCGAATTACAATTTTTTATCGAAGTACATTGCAAGCGAATTAGATTCCAATTACTTTTTTATTTGTTATTGCCTATCTTTCTATGTATGTAAAATTTTACATGCAATCAATATAAATTTTCAAATGCCCGTGGCAACGCACGGGCAGTCTACTAGTAATAATAATGACATAGTCCGCAGGATTAATGATTTGTTATTGAGAAATATCTCATTTTGTTTTGGAAGGTTATCGAGGAAAATATTACACCTATATTTTAGGAAGGTAATTTCAAATATATGGTGCGAGTTTTGAATTCTTAATTACCTATTTTATTTTACGTGATTGAAATGAATCAGAACCTGCCAAAGTAAGCACGAAACAAGATATCTCTTTCAATAGGATTTGATTTTTTTAATGAGGAGGAGAAAAACCAGTTGGTGAGGTGATGAAGGTGACGAATAAAAACCAGAAAAAATAATCCGTACTAGGCTACCAACTTCTTCATTAGAAATAGAGATACATTGCCCTTAAACACACACATATTTGGCAGTACTTCTCAATCTCCAGGTCTAGGATATCTCCATGTGTCAGGGCCAAAAGACGGTGGCCAAGTTACGTGCTCCCTCTGTTCCGAATTACTCATCGCAGGTATGGATGTTTTCCCGCCGTCGCGTCACGGCCACAAACCCCAGGAACCAAACTGAGACCGCGTATGAACAACGCCAACACAAACCCTCAAAAAAAAACGCCAACACGAGCACGGAGAAAAACAACTGCCCAGACCACGGTGTGATCGGCCGAAAAACCACAACAGTACGTTTCCGCGCGCACGAGACGTGGTCGATCCCGGCGCCCTCGCGGATCTCAGCCCACAGCCGCAACGCCGGTCGATCGATCAGTTCCAACAGAGCCGGACCCGGTCGGTCGATCACGAGTTCACAGCTCCTGTTCCGGCGAACGCTGGTCGGAGTGCTGCTCGGCGCCGCCGGCGAGGTACCTCTCGGCGACGGCGGCGTGGACTGCGGCGCCGGTGGGGAGCACGTCCTCGTCGATCATGAAGTAGAGCGAGTGGCCCGTGTGCACGGACCCGAGCGTCTCGTTGCGCACGCCCACGTAGTAGAACCCGGCGGGGACGGCCTGGGAGTAGAAGGAGAAGTCCTCGGCGCCCATCATCGGCGGCACGTCGCGGTAGCCTCCCTCGCCCAGGAGCGCGCGCGCCGTCGCCTTGACGTGGGCGTACATGCGCGGGTGGTTCACCGTCGGCGGGTAGAAGCTCTGGTTCTCGAAGAAGTCGACGGAGGCCTCGCAGCCGTGCACCCGCGGCTGCAGCGTCATCACCTCCTCGATCCGCCGCCGCAGCGTGTAGAAGCTCGCGTTCGAGAAGGCCCGGAACGTGCCGCCTAGCACCAACGGCGCCGCCTGGTCGCCGCCGTGGCTGAAGCTGCCGTTGACCATGGCGACGGACACCACCTGCGAGTCCAGCGGGTCCGCCTCCCGAGACACGAGGCTCTGCAGGCTGATGATGGTGGACGAGGCGGCCAGGACCGGGTCGGCGCCGGCGCGGCGGGCGAGTATCTGGGCCTTGAAGAAGCCGCAGCCGGCGAGCAGCGGCCCCGTCCGGGAGCCGACCACGGACGTCGGGTGCTGGTGCGACACATGGACGGCGAAGATGGCCTCCACGCCCTCCAGCGCGCCGTCCTCGATCATCCGCTTCGCGCCCGCGCCGGACTCCTCCGCCGGCTGGAACAGCAGCTTCACCGTACCCTGCACATAACCAAGTGCCACGGAGTACAATTTAAGTTTTAGATGAAAGTACAATTTAAGTTTCTCATTCGACTGTATTTCTGAATTTCATTAGTATGTTTTTCTCTTCTGAATATAAAATACACTATTAATTTGGACCCTATGCTAACTGCAGGTCTTGGTTCCCACATGTTTACAGAGTAGCAGCAGCTGGTGTAACAAGGACAGGTTTGATGAAGACGGCGACAGGAATTTGACATCGACATGACCACGCGTGCCCACAGACTTAAAACCCTTTGATTTGCAGTCACTGCTGAAGTGGTGGTAAATGACAATAATTCAGAAAAGATTATGATCATAGTGTAAGTTTTGCTTCCGCACACCACCCTTAAAAGTTTGCACGAGTCTTATGCTATAATAACCTACATGATGACCAGGCATTCCGTCGAACACGGGGCATCCGATCCACCTCCCGAAAGCAGTGAACCAAACTGAAGGAATGTTGTACCACCAGCATCGCATTACATTGAGAAAATGCAGTTGATCAAGCCGAACAAATTCTGTCCTTGGCGCAACGAGACGGATGAATGACCGCGAGCATATATCCGCACCAACCATGGCCACTTTTTCCAGCCTAGACGGCGGCGATCACGTCTTAAACGCTTGCAAATCCTAGTTGCTAATCATTCTTAAAAAATAAATAAATAATCCCACTGTACTCAGTAGCGAGGGCACACGTGAAGAGGAAGCTCGGGCAAAGCAGAGGGTCGCCGAATGTTTGTCCCGGACGGCTCGTGTCCTGACGCCGCCGCGACAGCTTTAGCACTTTACGCCGGGCGGGCGGCCGCGTGCCTGGCTCACGACGGTCTTATGACATGATTTTCGGCTAAGCACGCGCCTTTCGATCTTCTCTCGCAAAGCAAACCTAGTGCGTAGTACGCCCAAACCGCACGCATTGCAAAATCACATCGGCACAGCTAGAGCTAGCACGCAGCCAGTGTGGCAGAGGGACATGGCCAGAGTCCCTTGCACGGCAATGGTGGCGTGCGGGCAGACGGGAGGGACGCCCGGCTACAACCTACAGACAGCTATAGAGACCATCGTAGCCACTCGAAGGTGAAGTTCAGCGTGCTAGCTAGCAGACACTGATGGGAATTCAGTTGAGAGAGATTACCTTGAGGTGGCGCTCGCGGGCCTTGAGGATGCTGGCGGCGCCGAGCAGCATGGCGACGTGCGCGTCGTGGCCGCACGCGTGCATCTTCCCGGGGTTCTTGCTCTTGTGCTCCCACTCCACCGCCTCCTGCAATCAAACAACGTGTCAAACGAAGCAAGTTTGGTTGGAGTCGAACGAGAACAACAGGGGATCCCGGAGAGAGAGAAGGAGGGAGACGAAAGGCGATGAAAAGCAGGAGAAAAGTCTGTGGCTTTTTGGCGTGAAAAAAAACTGCCCGTTCGGGGCACTCAGAAAGACGGGGGTTTCGCATGGCAACCGGGATCCGCGCGTCCAAGGGCCTCACCAACGGCGGGTGCCGTTTCGGGCACCGGAACGAGGAGAATCTTTTTAAAAACCCATCTGTCATCTTTCTGGTTTCAGATGAAAACAAGCAGACGCTTCCGATGAACTCGATCGATGGATCGAGACTGCTCGCGGGCAACGTCCACAGGCCGCGTGTTCCTGCAGAGGCCACTCCTTTCTGTTTTGTTGTTTCTCTTCTATCTTAGTGCAATCATTCACCCAGCAACCACAAGTTAAAAATATGAGTTCAATGGTGAAAGAAGGCCCGAACTTGAAGAAAACTGGTCATTTTTTTCTAGTGGGGAATGGCAATGCATTGGTGGTGCATCTATCCTCCACCACCCCATTAACCAAGTGGCCACAAGATAAACAGCTTGAACAGAAAACAAACGGAGTAGGACTATGCAATAACGATGATGAGAAAATCTAAGAAACTGTGTGGAAGCTTAGTAGCATGCTGGGCTCGATCGTTTGTTATGGGCACTCAGAGGCTGCAAAAGGCGCACGTGCGCGAGATAAGAACACGTGTCTGTTCACGCAGCGGCGGCAGTTACTTGTACGTACCTGGATGGGCAGCGCGTCCATGTCGGCCCGGAGCGCGACGACGGGCGGCCGGCCGGTGCCGATGGTGGCGACGACGCCGGTGCGCGCCAGCGGGTACCGGAAGCCGACGCCCATGCCGTCCAGCTCCTCGCGGACCAGCCGGCTCGTCTCCACCTCCTCGTACGCCAGCTCGGGCCGCTCGTGGATCCGGCGCCGCACCCGCCGCAGCCACGCCGCCATCTCCGGCCGCCCCGCCAGCCCCGCGATCTCCTCCTTCCACCCGGACGCACCGCGCTCGCGCGACGACCCGCCGACGACGGCGGAGATGGCGACGTCGACGTTGTCGCAGATGGGGCCGCCCCGCCCGCTGGCGTTGGCGCCCTTGCCCAGCCTCGCCACGGCGCCGAGGACCACGTCGTCCTCCAGGAACGCCGCCGGCGACGAGGGGCCAGCCGACGCCACCACGAGCGGCGCCGCCAGCAGCACCAGCAAGAGAAGCACGGAGGTCGGACGCCCGCCCTCCATCAACGGCGATGGCGCTGCGCTGCACTGCTGCCGCTGGCTGAGCTCTGCGCGTGTCCGGGCACGAACAGGGTCGGATGGCTATACCACAACGAGGACACAACTATGCATGATGGGCAGCGAGCGCACACTGGAGCGGGGGGGAGGGTTAAATTAGGCCACCTGGCAGGGCGGAAACAAAAAATCTCCCTCCTTTTCCATTCCCATCCAATTCCCCCCGTGCTCGTATAATGAACCGCTCGCTCCCTCTCGTCACATTATTTCTGCCGCGTGGGCCCCGGCCGACAGCGACGCTTCGGTGGCCTCTGACAGCTCCCCCGCTGCTCGCTAGATTGTGTAGGCGCTGCGCCCCACGCAGGTTGCTATCAGCATCCGTGTAAAGGAAAAGGTATTTTTTTGCTTTCAGCATCAGCACAACGCTTATGCTACATCAACTTGCTAAACGAGCGATTATGTTAGCATGATAGTGCTTTTTTTCTCTTTTCAGTTTTGTATTCAACTGGCAAAATGGTACACATGGCATGAGATAAGAATGACCCAAGAAAACATATGGTATTATTACATCAGTGGTTGTGCACATGCCCCGCCGGCGGCATGCCGATCAGTTAGTGTGAACGCTCGCTTTTTTGGTTGCTGGGATTAATCTAATCTCGGCGAGACGGCAACGTTTTCTCTCGGGTCATTCTTTTCTCCGGCTGATTGGTTTTTGTTTGGTTCCTGCTATCGATCTGCTGGCTGGAAGCCAGGAGGAATTTAATTCGGTGGCAAGGCAGGTGGGAGGAGGAGGAGTAGAGCGGTGCAGAAACAGCAAAACCACCAGCTATGCATGGCGCGGCTTTTAATCCCGGGTGGAGTGGGGGCGATGGTAGCTCATGCTGGACGCATGTATTTATTTCGGGGTCATGGATGGATGAACGGACAACTTTCGTGGCAAGTAGGTCTTGGCTAGTAGTAGACAGTAGTACTCTATCCCGTCCTTTTTACTTTACGTATTAAATTTTTGTCAAGTCAAACTTTACAAAATTTGATCATGTTTATATTTAAAAATATCAACATCTACAATATTAAATATGTATATACTACCAAATTACATTTCAGGATGAATCTAACAATATTGATTTGGCATTGTGAATGTCAATATATTTTTCTATAAATTTGGTTAAAGTAGAGATACTATGACTTTGGACACAACTCCAAATATGCTCTCGTCCCGTTTTATAAATAAAGCAACGGTCCATACAATTCAAGTTCAACAGCCCTCGACATTTTTTTAGAAAAGGAGGAATATCCCAGCCTCTGCATCTAGATGATGCATACAACCAATTTATTAATTATTAACACAAGTCCTTATAAAGTCATACAACAGTAAGACCAAAGTCACCATCTCAGCAACCTTTGTCATTACTCCTATCTAGCTGATGAAGGGACGCTAATGGTCTGGGTCTAATACCAAACAGACCTCGCAGCCAAACATAACATCTAAGACCTGAGGTCCCAACCAGGACGCCTGCCGGGTATGGGCATCCACCAGTCCAGCGTGCTCCTCAACCAGGACACATGTCGGGTATGAGGCCACCACAGCCACCTGCCACCTATCCATCTTCAGAGTTGTACTGCTGCACTGGCCTTGCCCGGTCTCGCTGCCGCCGACGCCACCACGACGCCAGACAGCGTCGACCTCCTGTGCGTGTCCGTCACCACACATCTGACGCCAAGCCTCCGCTGCTCCATGCCGCCAAAAGCCGCCGCCAAGAATATGTAGAAAGAAACACCGCTCCACCGAAAGGGAGATAGCACACCCCCACCCCTCACCTGCAGACCCTCCCATCCGTTCCTAATGTCCTTGGCACCGCCTCCAGGAAGGTTACGGTGCACGGGGCGCCGCCGACGCCCGATCCGCATCGAATCTTGGGCTTTCACCCGGACATGGGTCGGAGTGGAGAGATGGTGTCCTCAGCAGCACTTCCAAGGAGGAAAGCGACGCCAAAAGGCGGCGTCGCTGCTGCCGGCCAGCCAAGGCGACCAAGGTTTCCCTCAGACACCGATCTGTTTCACCAGAACACACCGGAGGTGAATCCAACAAGATCCAAAGCCGAACCAGGGACTGGGAAGGGATGCATGGAAGGGATCCAACAGCCTTCAACATACAACATCTGTGGCCACAGTACAGTCAAGCTCAAGAAAGCATAAAAGAAATAGAAAAAAACACCTAGTGGCGGCCGCGTAGCGGCACTACGAGGATGATAGTCGACGTGCCGAAGCCAGAAGCGCATCCATCATCAAGCCAAGTCGGTCGCGATCATGTTGCCTCGAGAGCGGGTGCCAGTGCTGCAGAAAAGTAAGGAATTTGAAGGAGTCAGGCGCCTTTCTCGGAAAAACCTTCTCTATCACCATCTTATTCTTAGTCGTCCAAAGAGTCCACGACATCGCTGCAAAAATAAGCCAAAATAGGCGGCGATGACGCGACGGCTGTAAAGCTCTATGTTGGAGAAACTCCGCGAGATTTAGGGCCTCCCATTCAGGCCCCAATGCCTCGCGGGCGTACGTCCAAAGTACGCTCGTCGCGGTACACGAGAAGAGGATATGTGTGCCGGTCTCTGATACCGCACAGAGAGGGCATACACCATCACCAGGTCCGTGCCGCTTAACTACCTCTATCCTCGAGGGGAGGTGATCGTGTAGTACTCCCTCCGTTTCTTTATCTAAGGTGCATTTTTTTTACAGAAATTTCACAATGTAAGGTGTATTTGTTGTAATCTCATTTAATCCCTCTTTTACCCCTCCACGTCCGACATACATGGTAGCTATCCTCCTGATGCTAAAATCAAGCCAAGCACTTAATGCGTTTTGTTGGGAAAAAAAGCGAACCATCATTAATTAGGAAAATGTATATCCTCCCGTCCCATGCAATCCCATTATTTTATTGTTTCCTCTTTGAGAGCGTATAGAACAATTTTCTCTACCTGATCTAAGCCTTTTCCTGAGAACAGAAAGCATCACACGAACAAAACTTTTGAACGGACGCCTTTTCTCTTCCACCATGGATCCGTTCACGCTAGAGGAAGATAGGTTCAACTCGTTGCTACATGTTTTTAGCCAAGAGGATGATCCCTCTATGGAACTGTTCAGTCAGGTGGAAGAAACGGACGAGTCCTTGGGCCTGTTTAGTGAGGTGCAAGACCACGGCCGGTGTCTCGCCGAGGACTCGTCGCCTCTGTTGTCCGACGTGAAGCTCGCCGACCAGATTTTGCATGATGTGGCCACGTCCGACAACGGCGATGTCCAACAAGCCGGGTTATTGCGCACACATGCTGCTCGACATCCGGTCTGTAACTTCTTCCAAGGCCGGAATCGCCACCGTCAACGAGGTCGTGAACTGCGTGGTGCCCGAACCATACGCCGCATCGGCCTCTTCAAGCATGCCATGTCAAGCAATGCTCGGCGCACTGTCCTTTGCCGTATGTACGGAATATCCATCATGTCAAATAACATCACCGATTTTTGGTTAGTCCCACTTATACATTTGCTCTTATCCATCATATCTGTACATGTACTAGTATGACATGCCTTGTTCTAACTTTTAGCGACACAACTGGAGGCGTTGATCAAGGGGAGCACCAATATGGCAAGGAGAATGATAAGAGCAACGCGGTAGATGACAAGGCCATCAAGAATGATGAGGTCGATAGCGATGCCGAGACCATCGATTCAGAGTTTGAAGCAATGCAAGCTGCCAGAGCAAGTGAAGTGGGTGTGGAACGATTTTATGCCCCAAATTCAATGCCGGACTCGGTACCCCCAGGAATGGAATCATATAGGGATTTCATACTGAAGTCCTTGATGACATCGTATGATCCAAAAATGATGAAGAAATAACCACATAATCAGTGACGCAACTACTCTCCGCTTAGCACTAAATATTTGGTGTGATTTCATAAATTGTCAATGTGCCCAAAGTCTTTTTTTTATTGCATGAGTTTGTTAAGTGACATCATACTTTGGCATGAATGAAGCTCATTTTGTTGGTTACTGTTACTTGCAATGTTCTACTCTCAAAGCAATAGATAAGTCGAAGTCATGGAGTAATAAAAATCACCAAAAAAATTAACAACAAGTTCTTTTAAGATTACTTGATGGCATGGAGTAATAAGCATCAGAAAACAAAGAACAAGTTCACTGAGATTATGAATAAGGCTACAAGTACAGTACGAGTATGTTTAAATTCATGACTGTATAAGTAACGAAGTTGCTAAGATTATTACTGATAACAAGCCACAAGAAGTACATCAAGCATCTGGAAGGGCTTCAATAGCAGCAATTACAATATCAGCATCGCAGGGTACTACGTCCGGAAGCATTTCGAGTGCCGCCAGAAATGACTTCCTCATGTGCGGAACCTTGTACCGGTTACCTCCTTTCTGCTTCAGTACCTCGCACATGCATGACTGAAGGGTAAGAAAAATACGGTTGCTTCTCTCAGCCGGGTAGGTGTCATATGCTTTTTGCACCTTTGCAACAATATCACCAATTTTACCAGGGGACATCTTCTCAAAAAGAGCCTGAAGTGCAGCAAAGAATCCTAAGTCCAGAATGTTCAAATCAGGTGAGTTCGGCGGCTGACATGTAAGCCTAATATCCCATCCATCCGCCTGTGCCGCTGCACAAAACACACTGTCATTCACAGCAATATGGGTCTTTGCATTATCTTGCGGAATGTA